GTCGATTTGCGTACAAGTCGCCACGGGAAGCCTTTAGAACACCCAAAGAAACCCTTTACTCGTAAATAATTCAGTCTTGCTCTCATCCCAGTTGCGTAAAAACCCCTCTTTGACCGATTAAAATAGTAGCACGCAACAGTTCATGTATTAGTTATCTTTCATAAAATCTTTACTCGTTATATTAAATCAACGCATCAAAACATCATCTAATTACTTCATTAATGTTAATAAATCCGCCATACATTTTATAGCGATGTAATTTATTTGATCTATTATGGGGCTTTTGATTTATCACGATATTAGAGAACAAGAGAATTTAGAATAAAATGGTCTTTGAAAATAATTTGCCAGATTGAAATGAAACTTTTCAAACTTAAATAAAAACTCATTTGAAAATAAAGCAGAGAAGTTTAACAAAATACGAAGCAGGGAGTTCAAACCCAAAAATTTTTAATTGCCATCGCCATCGCCACCTTTTTACTGCTCATTGTACATACACACATACAAGACAAATTTATTATAAGTCTGGCACATCACAATACAGGTACTAATACTACTTTATTTCTGGTAATCACTGAGAGGATTGAATTTTTTCTGACTTTCTATAAGCCACGAATGCATAAGTATTGTGCAAGCAACAGTCTTCATTGAGATTTACTCTGTCATTAGTAATTGTAACCCCAGCTCTTGAAAATGTACTTTCACTAGCAACACTTGAAGGTTGTATCCTGAGATAGTTCTTTCTAAAGATGGTAGCCGCAATTACTAATATGTTGCAACTTATTAAAAAATTTAATAAAAATCGCAACTTGTCGCAAGTCGCAACTGAAGTAAATTTTAGAAAGAATAACTTTCATTTTATTAATATAAAGTACTGTATATCGATATGTGTAAACACAAAGAAGTCGATAAACAATACTTTTCCATCTTTTTTGCTATCACTAAATTGTTGTATGTACTAGAGAGTTCGTGAAATCATAATGGAAGCCAAACTCATAGTACATATACACTATTACTAATAAACCAACCAATAATCAATGAAAACGTTAAAATCACATAAAAAATATTGCACTAGCAAACATATACAACATGTGTTGCCTTCGCAAACAAGTAGAATTGACAATTATACAAATAAGTACTGCACCCAACCAACCTAGACAAGTATATATGAACCTTTGCATCGATCTTCGTCCAACAAATCGGTACATTTTAAAGGTAAAATGATTCGGTATTATTTGCTCTGACTTAATATGACATGACATGCACCCGCACAAAGTGAAATCGAGGCTAAGTAAAAATGCTTGTAGTGAATTTTCGAAATTTGAACCATCCACAAGATTCACCACATCGATAATGGATAACATCGACACAATGAAACTAAGAGCGCAAGGAATAAACTAAAGCTCTGTTCGAGTCGGGTCGGATCGGATTTGAGGTCAACCCGAACCGATAATTTCGGGTCGGGTCGGATTCGGATCAGGTTTGATCCGAAAATCGTAAAATAGTTTTTAGTTAATAACTTTTACTTTTACTAAGACATTTGTATTTGGTGTCTAAATAGAGTTTTTCGGAATGTAATTGTGTATACACCCACAAATTTTCGTTTAATTCCAATTAATATTGAACGATAAATAACGTTTTTTAGGCTGATCCGAAATATTTCGGGTCGGATTTGACCACAATCCGACCTGACCCGAAATGTGCGTTCCGGGTCAAATCACGGATTGGACCCGACCCGGTTGGAGCACTAGAATAAACCAAATACGAGGAAATCGTCAAATATCAGAAACAGTGTATATTCGATAGATTTTTTGTTTAGTGTCAATAAAATGAATATTGGTGGAATGATAGTAACGAGAGACAAGAATGCATCGATTGAGGCATTATAATTTTGCAGTGTCGTAGAATTTGATTCCGAATCCAAGTTCACTAGTGTTGGAACGCTTACAGATTTGATGGTAGTGAAAAGTACTAAAAAAGCATTGAAATAGACAATCGAAATAGGTGAAATGTGGTCGATGTAATAGGTCAATGGCATTTTCCATGGAATTGAATCCCGAGATTATCAAGAATGGTCATATACTATTTTCGTTTTAAATTCCTTACCAAATTTTTTCTTTGGGTTCTCTATTTGATCTCTGGAAAGGTTTCTTACATATAAATACTTAAATAACCGACAAACGATGCTGCTGCTGTAGTACATGTACTACATATGTTTGGGAATATGCGTAATGCTATATTTTCTTAAAACTACTCGGTCACAATTGATTTTTTTCAGGTAATTTCTGAAACGACTTCTTAGTAATATATGTAATGTACCATTTTCTTTTGATTTGATATCGATATACTAAGGTAATAATGATTTATTGTTATATGTATGCACTGATTGTGTGTGTGTAAAATTGTTCCTGAAATTGACATTCTAGTTTTTTTAAAAGAAACCTTTTATTATTTAGATCTACATTTGATTTTTTTTTATGATTTCTGTTTACGCTTTTAAACCATTCTGATATACCATATCGACGCCTTTCAATTATTGTACATTCTAAACAGAATACATACAGTCAAACCTCATTAATATGCCATTTCGGTATTTTGGTCACAATAACAAGTTGTCATCGTTATCGTTATCGCTATGATGATATAACGTATGTGCGCATTTGTGTCACCAAATTTTTAAGGATGCGTCGAACCAAACCAACATACGATTAATATTTAATGTTGATAATTATAAAGTAACTCACAGCGAGAGAATATTTAAGAAAATTAGCGAGGAAAAAAAATGCGAATTGGACAAACGAAATTTCTCAGGGTGGATTTTGTCTTCACATCTCACTGAAACAAATTACATGTATGTCATACAGTAATAAAGCAGGTGAGGTAATGCAGGGTTCTTGGTTGTACTAAGGAGACTATGTCATGGAATAATACATGGCTGTTTTGGGGTTTTTGTTTATGTCATAACGAGGTTATGACATGTCATGATAATGAAAGCAAATGACTAATTTGGTCATACTAACGCGGATGTCATAGTAACGGGTGTCATATTGATCGTATAAAGAAAAGCCATAGGAGACTCCTCTTTTAACACATCAAATACGTGCTGTAGTAATATGTCTGAAATTCTTATGTATAATATGAGTAATGCTAACTAACATAAATGGAAAATTTTTGAAGGTATAGCACTCCATTTAGCACATTTGTATCCATGCAATTCGATTCAAAGATCATGGAGTCTTATAATTGTGGATAAGCAAAGATAATAATTTTTCCTAGCCAGTGAAATAAAGCATCTATGAATCAGGTATATAAATTATAGTCTGACTACGTACAATAACAAGCAATAATAATGACTACATGTATTGCATTATAAAGTACATAGAAGATAATTGAATTTTGCAATTTATTATAGTTTGCTGCTATATTAATAAACATAGCAAGTAAATGTATATTCTAAATAAATATAAAAGGAGATTTAATAAAATGAATATACATGTAGTTTAATGTTAAAATAATAACGACGATCAATATGTATATGCATAATAAGAAGAGACATTTTTTGTTATTATTTGACTTCTATATATACGTACAGTACCTCCAAAAAGTAGCAACTTAAATGCAAGGATTGTTTTGATTGGAAAGTAAAGTAAAAACAATTTTTATATGAAAAATTTTTTTCCATGCTGATATATGAAAATTATATATCTATATCTATATTTCTATTAGCAATTATAAATGAACAAGATTTATATCAACTTTAAAATGAAAGAACTGTTTTAATTATAAAATCAACAAAAAATTATTTATACGTATAATTTTAAATCAAACATTACTTTTTGGGGTACTGTACATGTAACATTTGTAACATTGATTTCTAATTTTATTACATGTATGGTATAAAAAATCTTAACTCAATAATTTAATAAGTCATTTTTAAATCCTTTAACACTTTACAGAGATGGAATTCAGAAAAACTAAACCAGTAATATTGTTCTTTGTAATAAGCTCTATCAAATTACCAGTCAGTCAGCATTATTATAATGCCAGCCCAAATTATAATTTCATCAAAATTAGACATATGTCATATGATTAAAATTACACATCACATGACTTTTCCAACACAAATAATCTTATTAAAAATCAATATACTGTAATTTTTGATTATACATGTACATGTAGTATTTATTTTTTTAGAAATTGAAACAAAATCACATGATTGTTGAGTTAAGATTCCTGACACCATACTATCATTATACATGTATATGTACTACTATGATATTGACATTCGATATCCGGGATCAAGCACCGACCCAACTTTTTGGACACTAACAGATTTTTAAATTTCGATTTGATCATGAATTCGGAATATCATATTATGAAGTCGGGTTATATTGATATAGTGAATTCGGATTATATTGATACAGTGAATTCGGGTTATATTGATACAGTGAATTCGGGTTATATTGATATAGTGAATTCGGGTTATACGATAATGGATGCAATGGTAAATCCGGATTTTGATTATATTGTTGATATGATGGATCAAATTGCTGAATATGTT